TGATGACTAAAAAGTGTAAGAGTCTATTATTATATAAATAATTTTTCCTTTAGATATCTGTTGTAATGAGAGTTAAAAGCTGAATAATATTTTAATAATCGAATCATTTGGCTATCCACACACAAAGATTTTAACATCTGGCTTGGTGTTTGCTTCTCAGGCGTTATGTAGCATTCCCCTGAGATTTTCTAGTGTTTACATACTATCTTTTACTAGTTTTATTTCAATTCTCAGCTGAATCTCATATTTTAGTATTTTACACATTATAAAGAAGTCGAATGGAAAGAGAACAATAACCTACACGGGAACAAGATTTTCATGAAACATGACAGATCAGAAACTTTAATAAAGAACAGAAAAATCCATAATTTTGCAACATACTAAATATTGTAGCATGTTGTCATATAATGATTGTGGTGGTGTTTCTGGTGGTTACTTGTAGTTTGACACTGGCAGTGTTTAAGCCGGATCTGGAGCCCCTAGTGTTTGTGTTGGTTAATTCCACACATTCCTGGCCTTATTCCTGTGATCCCAGACTGGTGAAACCACCGGATTTAATTTGTTGCTCGTCCTTTAAATGCCACACATAAAGAACACAGCCTGTCTCTGAAGATTGGTGACAAATAAGCACGTTCTTACCCTCCACTTAAACCTGAACACATTCCTCAGGGACATATCCCTCAGAGACAAGTCTGATCTTGTTGCATCAAGGCTGTATTGTTCATTGTCTAAGAGCTTTAAGTTAGCCAGTTTTTACTGTGTGGGCAGCAGAGGAGAGGAAAACACCTGTGACATTCATGCATTCACACACCGCCTTCAGTCTCTGTTGTTTCAACATGCCGTGTGTCTAATGTGTGTGACGGCGAGCAGAATTCTCAAAAACAAAATTACACACAGTGAATCTCCACAACAATGGACAGAATGCAACTGAATGGAACAGATGGGTTTCAAGACATTTTTAAAGGAATAGTGCACCCAAAATGAAAGTTTGCTGAAACTTTACTCACCCTCAGGCCATCAGAGATATAGATGAGTTTGTTTCTTCATCGGAACAGATTTGGAGAAATTTAGCATTACATCACTTCTCTGCAGGTCCTCTGCAGTGAATGGGTGCCGTCAGAATGAGAGTCCAAACAGCTGATAAAAACATCACGATAATCCACACAATGTCAGTCCATCAATTAACTATTGCTTCCAGCTAACGTACAAGTCCTCTATCTAGAATATTGCATTCTCCAGTGATAAAGTTGATTAATCTGAATCAGGAGAGAAATATGTTCAGATAAAAGCACCGTTTATTAGCAAAAACAGTTCTAAATAAATATGTGTTGGTAGATTTTGATGTGAAAGGACAACCGGGATTGACTTTTTCACTTGAGGAAGCGTTATTATGAATTCTGTATGCATTA